ACTACTATGTAACAAACCCCAAAACAGGTAATTGACAGAAATAGGCAAACCTTTTTAAAGTTTTCACTGGCTTCACGCTTACCTCTTTAATGGGTTCATCATCGTCTGGATGGTCGAGGCTTCTTGGCATGTGCCCCAAAAAAGCTCCAAGGGTTTGATCCTCAGCTATGTCATAACCCAGTTCTCCTCCACTTCCCAACCTCATGCTTAGCTCTGAGGGTTCCTCCACATCTTCAAGTCCTCCACCTTCCACAAGGAGACCCACTTGAGCTGGAATGGAGACTCCATTGTCAGGCTCCCTGTGGACCAACCAGGCTTCCAACTCCGCCGCTGGCACCTGTAGGCGGTCTAGGGAGCGAACCCAATTTAGAAGCCTGCGAGCTGTGAAGAACTCATCCAGATCTGCATTTTTTGGTTGCAGGTTATATCCATCCAGGATGTTTCGAAGACTGTGGAATTGAGTCTGAGTTAGAGCTGAATTTGGGCCCAGAATGATTTCGCTAAAAGGGGGCAGGTAGGGATCCACGTCCATACGCATCCCAGCCAGACTGAGAAGAATAGCTACTTGGATCAGGCCCTCTGTGAGGTACTTCTTCAGGTCCGGCATGGCCCAAACCAGTGCCAAGAGCAAAGAATGAGCCAAGTTAGTCTCAAATTGAATAGGAGCGTGTTTGTGTCTGTGTATCCAGCTTTAGAATTTCAAAACTTTCTCCATGAAGAAAACTTTATATTTTTTTTAGTTCATAGAAAAAAAGAGAAAAATTTCACACAAAATCCTGAAACAGAAGAGAAGAATGTAAGTTTCACACATTCCCAATTAATGTAGCCTAGCCTATAATGCTTTTATTTCAAAAAAAAAAAAAGACATAAAACACTTAGAATGGTTTATTGTAAATGGAAATCATATTTTAGTTATAAAGGCTAATGAGCAGTAACATTGTTTACTGTACACTATAATATTTTCCGAAGTAAATAAAACAAATATTACTGGATTATGTTTTGCAAGAAAATAATATTTAAGTCTACTTCAAAATTGCATGTTTAATTCGGTGATAGGCTATACTTGCTGCTTTTTGTAATTAATATTGAAGTTTACTAGCAATTTTCTAAGTGAAAATTCTTTCTACACCAGGTTTCTTAGGGTGTATTCACACCTGTCTTGTTTGGTTCGATTGAATCGAACTCAAGTTTGTTTCCCCCCTTGGTGCGGATCTTTTTGGCAGGTGTGAATACAGCAATTGCACTCGGGTGCAGACCAAACAACCGTACCGAGACCCAGCTGAAGAGGTGGTCTCGGTCCGCTTCCAAACGAACTCTGGTACTGTTCGTTTAAGCAGGGGTGTCAAACTCAATTCCTGGAGGGCCGGAGCCCTGCAGAGTTTTGTTCCAACCCTGCTCCAACACACATACCATGTAGTTTTAAAATAAGTCTAAAGGACTTGATTAGTTGGATCAGGTGTGTTTAATTATGGTTGAACCTAAACTCTGCAGGGCTCTGGCCCTCCAGGAACGGAGTTTGACACCCCTGGTTTAAGGTGTGAATATGACCCGACCTCGATCCGACCCAATTGCAGAAATCACGCTCAGAAACATGCAGCTCGCACATGTAGTGCTGTTGTTTGCGTTTCAGTGGTTTAAATCACTTGTTTTTAAACCACAATGCTTAAAAATGCATGCAAATGATGAGTTTTTGTGACCATGGCACACAGAAACGTGACGTGAGCGAGCTAACTAGGCTAAAGCTTGCTGCAAAAGTTACCATGAATATGTTGGGGGGAAATAGTAAAGAGATTTTTGAATGATTTATTAATTACCTAGCGTTTTCTGAGTCAGTGTCGCAAAGATGAAATTGATGATCCTGACTCGCCATCTCACCATGGACGCGAAAAGAAATGCATCTTTGCGGATTACATAATGAAAGAGGTTTTTTTGGATTTGAATTATTTCGTTTTGTGGTCATTTAAAGCTTTCTATAGCTAGATATATTCATCATGTCTGTAAGGAAAATATTCACTAAGTTTCGGTTCATTTTTGTGAAGCGCTCCTGTTCTACACCGAGACGGCAAGCGCATCCGATTTGTTTTCTTTATTTTACAAAAGCACAATGTTTTGTTTATATTTTGATTGCACACAAATAAAAATAGACCCTTTACAGTTCCGAACGATGTATTATTCTTACCTGTATGAGCAAAAATGACGGCGTATTTAATTTGTATCCACTGATGTCCTGAAGCACACTTCAGCTTCCACTCTCCGCACAAACGACTGGATATTAGGAATTTAGAATTTTTTATTTAGGTTAAATGTTTAAACTAACATTGTGATATGCTTTAAATATTTTATCTATAGATTTTATTTATGGCAAGTCGTACTTAGGCTACAACATCGTATGACATTGTCTCATATGATGCTCATAAGTTTCTTCATATTGCGTTAGTATCTGATAACACCAAATCAGTAAAAGAATAAAAATTGCTCTACAAAAGATCTCCATGATTAGCCTGTTTTTGCACTTCCTGTTGTCCCTGCTTGAGAATTTCTGTCCAATGAATGGATGACCTTAGCACACGTGTGGTTTTGTTTACAATTTCTGGTTCACTTGCAAAAAGTGCAGTGTGAAAGCGAACCGCAACCAAAGCAAGTGAACTAGCGGACTTTCCTGGTGTGAATACACCCTGAAGTGTAAAAGCGCGAAACATCATTGCTTAATAATTATACTACGTATTAAACGCATTGTTAAGTTGCTGGCTTCTGACTGGTCGATACAGCGTTCCAGCTGTGACCAGCGGTCAAAATTTCAAACATAGCCTAAATGAACAATTGTACGGTGGACACGCGAAACTTCTAGAATGTTCTGTTATCTTGAACACAACACTCAAGATCATAAACAGCAATATTCAACGCGTGACACTCCCGTTGACCCACTTTCTTTCCTCATAACCGGGCAACAGGCGACTAAGTCACCCCAAGATGTAACCAAAACGTTTCTCATGAAATAAACACTAGTGTTTCAGGACGGCTAGAGTTGGGGTTTCTTCAGAAAAAAAATGAAATGTTACACATTTTAAGTAATAAAATATTGCAAACCATGCTTTTTTCCCCTTTCATAACTCATAGCCTACAGGTGACGATCAGGATTAATAGCGATGCAACACACATTTACAGTTAACGCACTGTTAAACATCGTTACACTGATAAACTACAACTTCGGTTGCCTTGAACATTTTTAAGTGATTAATCTTTTCATTTGAACAGTATATAGAGAGCTATTAGATTCATAACAGCTCGCATATCTGTGTTCACAATATCGGATGTTTATATTTATAAATGCTATAATGAAACATTACCTTGTTTGAGGACGAGAGGTCTCGTAGTCACTAGACAGACGTGAGAGCGGGATACTCCTCTTGAATGATCTGATTCTGAATCACACAACTTCACATGCTCTATACCAGTGCGCGAGTGTATTTATAGGGCAGAAGTAAGCGGTGGAAAGTACTGGTATCCTCCTCACAGGACGTCACGTGATGAGACTTTCGGTTTTCTTTCGGTTGGAGTCAGTGTTTGGAAGAGATTGCGGATTTTTCCAATAACACATCAGATGTGTTTTCTAGAGCTTTCGTGTTTATCTTTGGACCATGAAACTAGTGCCACGGAATAACTGACAGAAATCAAATAATACCTACTCTGAACTATTTTGTTATCTACACATGTGCGTATAGGCTACATATATTGGACGATGGCAAATTATGCAATGTGCGGTAATATTTAAAGGGACAGTTGACCCAAAAATGAAAATTCTGTCATCATTTACTCACCCTCCACTTGTTCCAAACCTGTATAAGTTTATTTCTTCTGTTGAAAGCAAAATAATATATTTTGAAGAATGTTAGTAAGCAAAATGTTAAAGGGATAGTTCACCCAATAATGAAAATTCTGTCATCGCATGTTGTTCCAAACCCATGAGACCTTTGTTCATCTTTGGACCACAAAACTAAAAAAAAAAATTTTTTTTTTTACTCTTGTGAACATGCATTGAAGACTGACACAGAAGAGAATAAATAAATGAATAAAGTTATTTGTGTTTTCTTTGCACACAAAAAGTATTCTCGTAACTTCATAACATTAAGGTTGAACCACTGATGTCACATGGACTATTTTAAAGATGTCCTTACTATGTTTCTGGGCCTTGAACGTGTCAGTTGCATTGCTGTCTATGGAGGGTCAGAAAGCTCTCAGATTTCATCAAAAATATCTTAATTTGTGATCCGAAGATGAACGAAGGTCTTACGGGTTTGGAACGACATGAGGGTGAGTAATTAATGACAGAATTTTCATTTTGGGTCAACTAACCCTTTAATAGCCATTCACAGCTTTTTTCATACTGTGGAAGTCAATGGCTACCGTCAACTTTTTGGTTATCAACATTCTTCAAAAGAAACTCATGCAGGTTTGGTATGATATTATTTATATTATTTATTTATAATGATATTATTTATTAATTTTATATTTCATTAATATTATTTTATATTTTATTTATTTATTATTATTAGCCTATTATTATTATTGTTATTAGCCTATTATTATTATTATGTGACATTTTAATGAGTGTATTTACAGTAAGCTGTGTGTAAGCAAGCTTCGCCCCCTGATCCCTGAATCTTTTCAGCTTTGCTGCCCCCTGTCGCGCTGGTAAGAGGTGACGTTACATAATTAATTTGCTTACAGCAGCCGTTCATTATCTATTCATTGCAGATCCTGTTGGTACAAGACTTGAGGTTGGTGGCAGTCACGCGTAATGAAACTTACTTGTGAAACGAGTTACTCATTAGAGCAAACAATATGACGCCCAAAATTTAATTCTCAAGACTTCCCAATACACATTCAAGTGAGCAGCAGAGCGTAAGCGAGCATGCAATGGAAGCCGCCATTGTGGCTCCTGTACTGCAGCGCTGCTGAAGCAGAACGCTATGGTGGGTTTGAGCCAACATGGGCGGCTCGAGGGCTGTAGTTGCAGACACGCCCCCTGTGAGTCAGAGGGTTTTAGGAGCGCTACTGTAATGACAGCTCAAAGCTGTCCACGTCAACACTGTGCTACCACCATGGACTCCGCGGCTCTGGTAGGATATGTGTGCCATTTAATCGCTGTTTTTAATTCCTTTACTCATTGTAAACGTTGAAATAGTAGATCGACTGGCTTTGGTAGCTTGTACGCAGTTTTTTTTTTTTTTGACTCAATAGAAAATATGTTTTCGACAGCAGCTATTTACTCTTTATAATATTCTAAGCCTTCGCTTAAGAAACTATACAGTTGTGAACTACTGGAAATATGTCGTGTCTGGTATTATAAACGCTCGTGCATGCATTTTTTTTCTCGCCAAAACGAAATTGTTGTTGTCAGAAACCGATCCGGTTTCTCTTTGCGAGCGAACGAAAATGTATGAGAGCAAGCCGTAACATTATTTTTCCGATTATGAACGGATCCTACATTGTAGTGCCTTTGTAATGTGTTCTCGCTTCTCGTGCACTACGGGTTTGTTTATATTCATTTTCCACTTGTGTTCAGTTTGTTCTGAAAGTTTTCCCCCGTCTACTCGTGGGAGATGTGGGTTTTCAAAGTGGGACGTGGATGCCACGTCCTCGACGCGTCTCTGCCGGAGCGGAGCGCGTGATTGATTCCACAGGTGGACACTTGGAGGAAATCAGGGATATTGCTTGCCATGGACATTTTAATACTCTTACGAGTTGACCTATATGGACAACATCAGTACTAACTGCAAATAATTAATACTGTAGCTGTAGAAAAATAGCAGCACCTCTGTTTGGCGGCGTTAGACTAAAGAAGTGCTTTTTATAGCATTTTATTTCTTTAAGATTTTAAACACTATATAAGACGAAGAAAGACTATATATATATATATATATATTACATTACATTACATTACATTACATTATGCTTTTGAATACTGAATAGCCTATATTGGAAAATATTTTTTAAATTTGTATTTAAAAAGGTGATGCTAACAGGGTAGACAGTTTTACAGAAAATTCATTCATTACTATCCTTGTAAAAATACAAGGCTTTGATACAAGATATGCTGCATATTTTATTGTTATATATAACAATTTATATTAGTGAAAGGGTCATTGGTAACACTTTTAATAGATGGATTTGCAGTGTGAGGTGTTACCGTGAAATAGATAACAGAGTTTCATTGTTGGAACCCTGAAGGTCCACATCGAGATTCTCTTATATTCCAACCAGATGATCTGAAAAGATGATCAGATGATAGTTTTCTCCTTCTGTTCGCCTGGCTCAAGTTCTGTGATACACTCAGACTTTGAATCAGTGATAGTCAGTGCATGACAGAACTTTGGCCCGGACGGACCCCAGTCATTTGAGAGCCAACAAACAGCTGCTTCTGACTAGACTTTCTCTTTTCATAGTATTTTCCTGTCTATATCATGTAACTGTATTATTTCAAGGGTGTATTTATGACATCTGAGATATGAAAAAAAAGTAATGTTGAATGTTTGAAAATAACGTTGATTTATTTCCAACCAGGAGCCCTCGCTCTACACTGTGAAGGCTGTCTTCATCTTAGACAACGATGGAAATAGACTTCTTTCAAAGGTGAATGTACCCTTCTAGAATATTCGTTCTTGTCATTGAAGATGAAAATATTCTTGCATTTTAGACATTTGGGTTATTTTCAAAAACAATGCAATTGTTAAACTATTGGCACATTAGCCATTCACTAATATATGGAAGAGAACAGAGATAGAATCTAATTACATATCTAGAAAGAGAAATGAAGGAACTTCATCTCAAAGAATAACATAAAAAATATATATATTTATTTTATTTAAATTTGTATTCATTTAAATTCTATGACTTTTCTTTTTAGAGTAACAGAAACAACTATTAAATTAACTTTTATGCTGATTTATAATCAACACTTTATATCGATTGAGGTGCAAAATCATGCTTCTATAAAAAAAAAATCTGAATTCTGGCAGGGTTTAGCTTCATCACTAATTAAGCACACTTTCACCCGACAATCTGGAATTTTAAAAAAAAGGAATGTATTTCAAAAAGTGTAAGAAAATTACAAACATGTTTGTTAGAACAGTGTTGGAAATGAACTTTGCAACTCAACTCTGGAGGATCTCCTCTTTTACGTAGTCATTTTATGAAGAAAAAACAAACATGTGCAGACATGAAAAAGTGGAAATATGAGTTAAGCATTATGCATACATAGTCATGTACTATAACAAATGATCCCTGTGCTATTTCAGTACTATGATCCAGAACTCTATCCCTCAATGAAAGAGCAGAAGAATTTTGAAAAGAATGTCTTCAACAAAACACATAAAGCTGACAGTAAGTTCATTATTTAATAGCTTTTATTGTATGTTGCTTTTTACGAATCAATATGCTGCCAAATGTATTGCTTGTAGTGAGTAGACCTGATCGGCTGCTTTATGTTCCAACTCAAGCTCGTCAGATCAATGTTTCATAGTAAATTTGATTGTGCCAATTAGGACCACAACCACTCTCAGAGTAAAATAATAAGCGTCTCAGATCAGTCCCTGATCAAGTTACTAGTTTACACTGGTCCTTGGTCATTGGAACTTGCATTTGCAAGCTTCCTCTGGGGTTTGCAGGTCAGATTACTGGAAAACTGGGTGGAGAACCTGTTCTAGAGTTCATAGATGTTTCTGTCACTTGCCCTGTGGGGTGAAGGAGTATGACACCGGGACAACAAAACCACCCTGATCCTTTCACCTGTTTAGGTGTTCACTGTTTTAACATGGTCAAAATACACACCTGTATCTGTCTCTTAAAGGTGAACTTGGAGAAATGTGAAACTGTCCGCTCTGTTTAAATTTCTTGGAGTTTGCTGTTATTCTTCAATCAGATATTCAGACAAACATACTGAGGTTTATCTAGGTGAAAAGGGCCAGAAATAGCTTTTGACCTGCAATTGTTTAGCTTCACATGAAACTTTCAGTAATCAGACACCCGGTCCTTTAAACACAGCGTCTCAAAGTAAAACACTGATCTGGGATCAGTTTTCCTAGTACATATTAGAAAAAATGAAACTGATCTTCAGTTAGCATTAAAATCGTATGTGATATTTTTTACTGCGCTGTATATTGCTTTCAATCATTGTAGTTTCTGTGGTCTCACTCTGTCTGTTATGTTGATCGAGTTACAAAATAAACTAGAAAAGCTGAATTTGATGAAAATAACTTTGATGCTGGCTTGACAAAGACTTGCCTAAAAGTAGGGGTGTGCAATATTTATTGTCTATGTCATAACACAATGATATGACAATATCATAATTGTTGTTTTAACAGTGTGCAATGTGTAGATTGTCACTCACTTTGTAAAAGAAAAATTTTTTTTATTAGATATAACAGTTAAGTAATCACGCAAACAAGAATGCATTTTCCTGAATATCAGCATGTGTGCGTGAATTGCATATGTGTTCAACAAACAAGACGTTATTGAGTTAGTTACATTTTAGACAGAATATTGTCTTTTTTTATATTTTGACAATGAAAGTAATTAAAAAAAAAAAGGGGGGAATCTGGAGCGGAACACGTGTGAGTCTCAGAGAAACACTGTGGTGTTTCTTTCCTGAATTAATCTATTTTTGAACTAATCAATTGAGTCAATGATTTAATGAATCATTCATTAAGACGGGGACTTACCGCCACCTAGTGGTTTGAGTATCATATTTATTTATCCATGACAGCCCTAAACCAGCACAAAAACACACTCAGCAAAATATTGTTTAATTATCAATATCAAAATATCCCTTAAAATGTTGAGATTTTTTTTGTGAGATATGAGATATATTTTTTTAAAATATTTATTTTTTTTGTACCCAAAAGTGTAAAAATGTTTATATAGATTGGTAAATGTTTGTTCTATATCTCTAACATTTAACTGAACATACATATTTTTTATAAAGAAATGGTCAATCTTGTGGATTTTATGTCTTGTGTTTCTTTTCTGTTTGCGCAGATGAAATTGCCTTCTTAGAGGGAATGACGATAGTCTACAAGAGCAGCATAGACTTGTTCTTCTATGTAGTTGGCAGCGCTCAGGAGAATGAGGTAAGTCCTGTATGCAGATGAGCTGGCCTGTGATTGGCTGAAGTCTTGTCACTTAATTTGCATGTGACAGCAATTCTTTCTGACCATTATGGAGAACTGGTCAGTTTTGGACCCTATTTGATATCTGTGCAATTTTGTTTGTCAAAGAGGATGCACATATAACAAAAAGTCAGCTGTGTTTCATGCCGTTTCCTTTTTATCTGTCTCTCTCTTTTCCTGTATTTGTCTGATCTCAGCTCATGCTGATGGCAGTGTTGAACTGCTTGTTTGAGTCTCTCAGTCAGATGTTGAGGTGAGTTCATGCTCTGATATACCATTACCGTTCAAAAGTTTGGGTTCAGTGGGATTTTTTTTGTTGTTGAAAGAAATGAATACATTTGTTCTGCAAGGATGCATTAAATTGATCAAAAGTGACAGTAAAGACAATTATAGATTTCTGTTTTTAAATAAATGCAGTTCTTTCTTCATCAAATAAATGAATAAAATCTGAATAAAATATATCAGATATTCGACAAAAATATTAAGCAGCAGAACATTTATAATAAGAAGAAAGGTTTCTTGAGACGAAAATCATTATTTTAGAATGATTTCTGAAGGATCATGTGACACTGAAGACTGGAGTGATGATGCTGAGAATTCAGCTTTGCATCACAGGAAGAAATTATTTGTTAAAAACTAAAGATTTTTTATTTAAATAATATTATTAATATTATGAAAATAATATTAAGTTATAATATTTTGATCAAATAAATGCTGCCTTGGTGAGCATAATAGACTTCTATCAAAAACATTAAAACATCTTACCAGCCCCAAACTTTTGAAAGGTTGTCTATGAAATCTGAGGCCTAGTGATATTCGGACAACATTGTATGTTTAGATTTTTAAGAACAGTCCCATTTTGACACTGTATGCAGTTCTAGCTGCCTATAGGCTAATTCATGTCAGAATTCTTGGCATCAAGCCTCCTGTGGTAACCACAGAAACTGGTGGAGTGCAGCATGGGATGTTACCGAAGAACACTTGTGTGCTCAGATGTCTGGTTCTTCTCCAACAGGAAGAATGTGGAGAAAAGGACTCTGCTGGATAATATGGATGGAGTGTTCTTAGTGGTGGATGAAATCATCGATGGAGGGTAAGTAACAGTGTTCTCTTTTAGAACCTGCACAGTCAGTTAGTTTACTCCAGTCTTCAGTGTCACATGATCCTTCAGAAATCATTCTGATATGCTGATTTGGTGCTCAGGAAACATTTCTTATTACTATTAATGTGGAAAACAGTTGTGCTGCTTAAAGAGTTAGTTCACACAAAAATGAAAATTCTGTCATTAATTACTCACCCTCATGTCGTTCCAAACCCGTAAGATCTTTGTTCCTCTTCAGCAAACAAATTAAGATATTTTTGATGAAATCCAAGAGCTTTCTGACCCTGCATAGGCAGCAACACAACTGACACGTTCAATGCCCGAAAAGGTAGTAAAGACATTGTTAAAATGGTCCATGTGACATCAGTGCTTCAGTGCTAATTTTATGAAGCTACGAGAATACCTTTTGTGCGCAATTAACTATTTCTTCTCTGCGTCAGACTTCGACACGCATTCACGACAGTGGCACGACACAAGCATGTGCATTCCTCTGCTTGTAAACAAGGTGCAGTGCATCCGGGTTCTATGTCAGCAGCAGCATACAGTCGTGACTGACACGGAAGAGAAAAAATTGTTGAATAAAGTTGTAATTTTTGTTTTCTTTGCGCACAAAAAGTATTCTCGCCTTTTGGGTGAACTATCCCTTTAATATTTTTGTTGAAATTGTATATACTCTATAACTAAACTGACTGAGTTTATCATTATCATGAGGGTTGTTTTTATTGAAAAAATGTCAACGCTGACAATTTTGTGTCATAAAATTCACGATTTTCTACATTCATATGTTGCTCGTTGACATGCTTACAGGGTGATCCTGGAGAGTGACCCCCAGCAGGTCATTGAAAAGGTCAACTACAGGGTAAGAGACTGTATAGAAGAGCAAATATCATTGTGTAATGAACTGACGGTGTTTGTTTCCTGTATTTAGGGGTTCTGCTCTGACAGCTTGTTATTAAAGCCCAGACAGTTGTCAGATGTGACAACAGTGCTGCAAGTCAGCAGTTTCTAGTTTCTAGCTTGCTTTTTTACCCAGAATCACTCCTTCCTGTCTTTTATAATTACCTCAGCACATCATTTCAGCTTGACAGGAAGTTGCCCTTTTTTTTTGTCCAGTTTGTGGTTTTTATTTTGAATGTGTATGTGGAAAAGTGGGATAAACAGAAGATTCCATTCTGTTATTCTATAACTAATGTGTCCCTTTCACTTACATACACACACAGACTAAATGTCCCCTCTCTTGCCCTGTCAGTGTTTGTCGGAGCAAGCATATGGCTTCGTCCTTTTTGATTACATCACTGGTAACGTGGAGGGCCAGGGAGAGAGACGGCAGCTACTGTAGCTCTCCTTCCCTCCCTTCCCTCTCTCCCTCCGATCTAGAGCTGGATAGAGACGGGAGAGAGAGAGGGCCGAGGGTGAGAGAGTAGGCAGGTAACTGCATGGCATGTACAAGCGTGTGTGAGAGGAACAGCTGTAACCCAGGCGGGCGGTCAATATTAAGAAAACGTCTGGCTGACATCTGACCATAAACCTTTCGCTGCGGAGTGGGAGACACTGAGTCACATCTTTGAGTTACGCTCACATAAACTCACTCAATCAATGACCGGCCATGATTTCAGCGCAGCTGACCTCAGTCCATGCTTCTGATTTATGCTGTTATGAGTTTTATTTTTTACTCCTGTGCGTGGGGGTTGGAGACGTTCTCCCACTAATATCCACCCATAAAATAAACGTTTCAATTCAAATAAGATTTAAATGCATTACAAAATAGAATACAAATAGATAGTACCGTTAAATTAATTAAATTTAAATTCTATCTAAAAATCTAATCACAGGCAAATGTATATTGTCAGTATATACTTTATTATTATTTTTTATTTATTAGAAAATTAAAATAAATTACTTTATTGTATTCTTTTTTATTAGCAGTAAAAATGGCAATGTATTATCCATTAATACACTGTAGCAGCTGGGGCACATTTTATTTTGTCATCTTTTAGATGATTTTCAGTCTGGTCCTGCTCCAGTACAGTGGTCGACCAATATATTTTCAATGCATTTTTAAAACTTTTTTGTTTTTAAATTATTAAAAATATTAATAGATTTTATGTATTATTTTTTATTAGTAGTAAAATTGCAATGTATTATATGTGAATACAGTACAAATATACATTGCTGGGATGTCATCTGTGGGAATATGTTGTCCCACTAAGGTTCACCCATGAAATAAATGATCGTATTTATTGATTTTTATCATTTTCATTCATATTTATTTTAAATGTCATCATAAATAACATTTAAAAATTACAACAAAAATGCAAACCTCAGACAAATGTATTTTTAAATAAATCTTGAAGTGTTTTTATTTAATTTATAATTTTTTTATTTAATTTATTGGGAAAATTAAATGAATTAAACTGAATTCATTCTTTTTTTATTACTAATAACATTTCCATGTATTATATAGATTGTACTTACTTAATTACTTGTTTGTTTATTTATTTAGACTCACTTTTAGGGATGGTTCTGCTCCTTTTATGGTGGTTGACCAATATGGATTTTTAATCAATTTTTTAAATTATTTTTAAATTTATTAGAAAATTTTATGTATTCTTTTATATTAGAAGTAATATATGAATACATTTTAGCAGCTGGGACATAATTTTATTCGGTGATCTTCTAGATGTTTTTTAGACTCAGTTTTAGTGATTTACTTGTTCTGGTGTAGTGATCGACCAATATGGACATTTATATAATATCTACACAGCAACTGATGGCTAAAATAAGTCCAATACATAATAAACTTAATCAAAAGAATACATACATAATATTTACAAAACATTTGCTTAATTGACAACAGAAAATGTTTAGTAGTATCCATTATCAAGGCTGTCGAAGATCCTATTAAAGCAGCACTATGTAACTTTTGGCGCTCTAGCGGTTAATAAACAGAACTGCACACATCCCGCGGAAGAACATTCCAACCGGAGCTACTTCTCTAAGTTTATGTCTATGGCGATTCACGCAGGTATGTGTTACTCCGCAGTGGTGACGACCCGACCAGGCTACAATAGTCCAAATATAAGTACTTATTATAAGTGTACCGTAGTGATTCGGAATAAGACAAAAACGCGGTTTGGAAGATGAATTCATGATGTACTCGCTCATTATATACATTTTGCAAATTTTGAACACAGAAAAAGTTACATAGTGCTGCTTTAAGGCGAGCTAACACTTGTTAATTGGGCAAGCTGGCATTATTATCAACCAATGCCATTAATCTCAAATCGGGCAGAAATGTGCAGATCCTTTGGTCTATTATTACTTCAGATGTCCTCTGTGCATTCTTGCTACAGCTTTGGAACATTGTTTTTGGCCATTAGTGAGGTTTAACAGTAGTAGCAGTTGAGTTACAGTGTGTTGTTGACCTTTAACCTTCACTTTGGCATACAGTAACTGTTTCAAACAAATTGCATGATATGTCTGGCTTGGTTGGTTGTAGTTTATGTTGGTTAGTTATTATTTTAATTGTTCTTGATTTTGGTTATTTTGCAGGCAGATGACAGCCCATTATCAGAACAGAGTGTGGCACAGGTACTGAACACATAATGAACCTACATAGAAAATTACAAACACACAGACACTGTAATCATGCATTTCCCCTTCTTTTAACATCTTTGTCATAAAACATTCTTCAAGCTCAAAACTTGTTAAAAGGTCTGAAATGGTTTGCTTTCTGTCTTCCGTCATTAACGCCTGGACTGATTTTAGTCTCGCTCTAACCACTAACTCTAACCTTGACAGCACATCACTGAAAAACTGGCTCTCACCTCTAATGTAAGTGCATGAACACTCACACATATGTGCTGTTGGACACACACGCATATGCATGCTGAAGCGAGCAGGCATGTGCATTGAAGCTCTTAAAAATGTTATTCAGCCTTTTGTTTGAATCTTTAAAACATTATATCAGAGTGACAACAGAGGTGTAATATCATAGATAATGGACTGAAACTAATCCAAAGTGAAGTTTAATTATAAAAGAGGCATCACAGTAGATAGAAGCAATTGTTAAGAAAAACTCCGATTGTAATATTGTGGTCTTCAGATGCCCCCTTGTGGCCACAATATGAAATTGTTAGTGTAGTTGGGGAGTTTTTTTTATTATAATAATAATATATCCAGCTATCAGGAAACATTCGCAGAACGTTCTGGCAAGATTCTCTCAAAGATATAAACAAATGTTTTTTTTCCAGTAGCCTTAAAAGAACGTTTGTTCAGTGTTAGTCTTTAATAATGTTCTCAAAACGTTAGCACAAAACATTATTTAGACACCATTCATGGTCTTGTTTTAGAGAACATTCAAAAGTAACATTCCCATAATGTTTGCAAAATGATAGAATTGAATGTTCCTTTAATGTTCGCATAAGCAGGATTTATTTATTTGTTATATTTTATTTAATATATGAAATTTGATTTTTTTTAAAATAAAATATATTTTATTTAAAAAAAAAAAAAACTGGGTGTTTTGGACACTGAAAGAACATTCAAAATGTGTGATTTCATAACTTAATGGAAACAGGTGCAAAACGTTCTTAGAACACACTTTTTGTTGCATACACCTCCTTATGGCGTCTGGTATTATGAAAATATATTATTTTAATTGCTCGCATATTTGATTCCATAATGTTGGTTAGCTACAAAATATAAAATCTGAGAAATATAAAAAATATAAAATCTGAGAAATATATATGTGTGTGTGTGTATATATATGTATATATATATAT